CTTGACATTTCAACTGTCAGGAACGTTAGTTCGTAAATGTACATCTAATGTGAGACCTGAACAGCATGCATGCAACTGAATGACAAAATTCCCAATGTTTTCCATTTCAATTACACATCAACACTAATAACTATACCATCAACCAAAATATCTACCTAATGATGGTAAACATCAACCAAAATATCTACCTAAACAGCATGCATGCAACTGAATGACAAAATTCCCAATGTTTTCTATTTCAATTATACATCAACACTAGTAACTATACCATCAACCAAAATATCTACCTAATGATGGTAAACAAAACGATAAACGTAAATGCTTTTTCCAAAAAACAATACCATGCTACGCCAACATTGTAAAGTAACTACTCGTTCATCTTACTCTTTCGACGACCAGATCGTGTAAATGGAGTTTACGTGTTAGCACTAGGCACCTTCACCCTAATGGATCGAGGTCGGGATGGCGGTGGAACATTGACGTGAAGTGGATCCACGATTGGGGTAACCACATCTGAGGACCTCCCGAACGAGCTATCGACGTTACAAGCATTCATGTCGCTTGCCTCAACATGTTGTTCGTCATATGCAGTATTCGGCAAAGATAAATCATTGTAATCATCACGTATAGGCATAGCTTCATCGCCCACATTTCCACAACCAAATCCACCGCACTCATCACTCACCTTCTCTCCCCCAATTTCTGTCACAACATCCTCAAACCTACATTTCATCATATTTATCTGATCGGTAACATGGTCCTTCATAGAACACACATGATCTCCCATATCCTTCTCGATACCATTCAACCTTACGTTCATGTCGTTTCTCAGTTCTCCCAACTTTAGCTCAAGCATATCCTTCTATTCAACGAACAGAGCTCGAATTTCATCCAAAGAAACATGACTCACTACTGGCCGATTTCCCATGGTAGAAGATGACGGCAAGTCATGGACTGGATCGTGATGCCCTCCATCTCCACCTTCATCATCACTGAAATCATACTTCGAAGTCTACTTGTGGTTGCTCTCTTAGATTTCTTGCCTTGATTGTTCTCATTACTTGGTATCATGTCATCTTCTGGTGGACAATCTTGGATTACAGTGGATTGAAGAACCAAACTATCCAGAATGGGGTCTGTAACATCTTCGAACGAAACTAACTCGAAAAAGTATGGCTACAGTTCTTCTTCAGCAGAAGCGCGCAACGTCGCCCACAAGTGTAACTGAGAAGGGAGGAAAAGATCTCAAAATCAATTATAATATAGGCCAAAAGTACTAGTTCGGTTATTTAGGTGAATTGCTCACATGTGTCTTGTCGAAGAAATCTGAATATGTTCTTGATTGAGGCTGTCTTGTGCCAGACCATCGCAACATCCTCGGAATGTCGTCACCAATCTTACTCAAGAATCGATCTCCCAACTATGGGATTGTCTCATACACCCACAACTGCAACACATGTATAACATTTGTTACCATACACTAAGAGACAAAAAATTGTGCAATGCATAACACATAAATAAAATGCGGACACATGTATACTTGTACAGCAAGAGGGAAATCGTACAACGTGTAAGACATCCGGTCACAATCGTTGACGTTTGCCAAGTTTTCCTCTCTCCCCCATCCACGAATTTGTGATTTGATAAGAGGCTTAAACATAATGTCCCCCATGGATAGGCATTGAAGAAATCCAAGTCCTCCACAATGAAAAAAGTATCGGGATGTATCCCCACATTCCGGTCTCTACAATTGAATACCCCTTCAATAATCAGCGGCGAAGGAAAACATATTAGAACTCTTTCATCTTCACACTTCAGACAAAAAAAAATTAACTGGGTAGTCCCAGCATGGACAAATCTAGGGGCCAAACAAAATGAGCAAGCAACTTTGTGATTCAATACATGGAACAACAAAGAGAAACCGAGTCTGACAGAAATAAAATCGTGCACAACCAGGTAGGTTGGGAAATACTTTGTCACCAATGAACTGAACAAATTATTGAATTGTCACCTCCAAGAAGATTGATCTATGCAAGGCTAGCTTGAAGTAAGAAAAATAAACCAAAAATATCATACTGAATCACAGATTGCATAATCATTTACTGGTTGAAGAAGTGACCATCGTGATGTTTTCTCATACAATATCTCTAACTACAACATGGCATCATCAATTGATGCAATAGAAGTAAAAAAAGTGAAATAATTGTTGCATAGATATAGACCTACATCCCCATTGCGTACTAAAGAACCCTTCAAAAACTTGAAAACTCTTAGAGCCAAAGAACACAAGGCCAAAATTCCAAAGAAAACCTCAAGATTTCTATTTTTATTTTTCAATATGCAAGGAAAAAGATCAAACAAGTTGCTAACTCAAGTTTCAACACTAAATGAACCGCATGACCACCGCCACAAGTCTCGTGACCTAGAAATCAAGTAAATCCTCTTAATATTCTTGATTTTTCATTCTCAAAATTAGTTCTCAACCGCTCACCATACCGCACCTCCCTCACAAAATTCAAGCTTGAAGATGAATAGGTGGTTTTCTTATGGGGCTTTTCAGTTGAGTAAGGAAAATTATGAGAGAAATTATAATTTGAGATGAAAACTTACAGGTACAGGACGGAGGAGGAGGAAGCGGCGGCGGCAGCGACTTTCAGTGACCCAATCTCCCAGATAGAGAATGGATGAGGAGGAAGCGGTGGTTTTCGGTGTAGAGGCGTGCGTCCTCAAAGCCCTACAAGATTTGATTTTGTTTCATTTAGTTGGGTCGGGTCACGTAGATTTGGGTAGATTTTAATGGGTCAATTGGGAAAAGTGATATGATTTGACACGGTACTTAATATGGAATTAAAAAGTGTTAAGATGGGCATTTTCTTCTAAATAATTGCAAAATGGACATT